AAAAAAAAAAAAAAAGGAAGAAAAGAGAAAAGAATATAACCATTAGTGCTTGCTGTGTCAGCACATATACTTAAATTGGAAAGATACAGGAAAGATTATCCTAGCCCTGTGCAAAGATGACCTGCAAATTTATGAAGTGTTCCATATTTGTTTTGTTTTACTTGTTGAAACAGAGTCTCACTTTATTGCCCTTTGTAGAATGCTGTGGCATTACAGCTCACAGTAACCTCCAACTCCTGAGTTTAGGCGATTCTCTTGCCTCAGCCTCCCGAGTAGCTGGGAATACAGGCACCTACCACAATACCCAGCTAATTTTTGTTGCAGTTTGGCCAGGGCTGGGTTGGAACCTGCCACCCTTGGTATATGGGGCCTGCACTCTACCCACTGAGCCATAGGTGCCGCCCAAAGTGTTCTATTTTTTTTTTGCAGTTTTTGGCCAGGTTGGGTTTGAACCCGCCACCTCTGGCATATGGGGCCAGCACCCTACTCCTTTGAGCCATAGGCACCTCCCAGTGTTCCATATTTTTAAAAAAGATTATGAACATTAAACTTAATAAATTTTACCCAAATGTCATCCTATCTATCAAATAGGTCCACCAGTTTACATTCTCACGATGTAAGGACATTTATTTCCCCCAAATTTACTAATAATTTTTAAAGTCTCTGCCAGTTATATGGAATCTTTTGTTTTGTTTTTGAGACAGAGTCTCACTTTGTTGCCCCCAATAGAGTGCTATGGTGTCATAGCTCAGAGCAACTTCAGCCTCCCCAGTAGCTGGGACTGCAGGTACCTGCCACAATGTCCGGCTGTTTTTTAGAGACAGCTCAGGTTGGTCTCAAACTCATGAGCTCAGGTGATCTGCCACCTCAGCCTCCCAGAGTGCTGGGATTTCAGGTGTGAGTTTTTCTCTGTGTGGATTTGACCTGTCTACATTTCTTGGCAATTTATGTCCTTTTCCATATAAATTATTTATCTGTTCATCTCCTTTGCCAAATTTTCTATTGATCTTTTATCTTCTTTTCTTATTAATATATAAGAACTTTTTTTTTTTTTTTTGTAGAGACAGAGTCTCACTTTGTTGCCCACAGTAGAGTGCCATGGCGTCACACAGCTCACAGCAACCTCCAACTCTTGGGCTTAAGCGATTCTCTTGCCTCAGCCTCCTGAGTAGCTGGGACTACAGGTGCCCGCCACAATGCCTGGCTATTTTTTGGTTGCAGTTTGGCCCGGGCTGGGTTCGAACCCACCACCCTCGGTATATGGGACCGGTGCCCCACTCACTGAGCCACAGGCACTGCCCAGAACTCTATATATTAATGATACAACACATTGTATGTCATATGTGGCAAATATTTTTCTCTTTCGATGTCTCCTTTTAATTTTGCCTATGTATTTCAGACCACTACTTTTTATGAAGCTAAATTCTGCCCTGTGTTTTGTAGTTTCTTCCATTGCTTTAACGTTTAACAAGTCTTTCCCTATGTTGAGATTCGATAAACATTTATCTGTAGTTTTTCTTCAAGGTGCTTTCTGGCAGAGCGTCATCCTTATTGCCCTTTAACCTTGCCCAGGCTCACCTTGCCTTCTCACCTACACTGCTGCCACCCCTTTCTGTGCCTTGCCTCACCTCCCGCCTCCTCCCAATTCCAACTTCAGGCTCACCTGTAGGAAGAGGGAAGTCCTCTTGGTTGGGTCCCAGTGAAATTTTACTGTGTTAAGTCGTGAGGGCAATATTTTGGGGTTCCATCACCCCCACAGACAGTGGCACATCGGCAGGCACAGGGTGGCAAGCAGGGAGGAAGACTTAGCCCTCCTAGTCCACAAGGACTTCCAAGCCAGAAAGTGGACTTGAAGGGTCCCTGGTCCCTTCCTACTCACTGATCTCCAAGATTCAGTCCCCAGGCTAGCCCCACTCCCACCCTTCCAGCTGCTGCTGCTCCATGTACTGCAGGTGCGGAACACGGAACATCACTTGTATCACACTCTGCAGTCACAGGAGGGCGTGATGCACAGGTCAGAGAGTGCCAGGGCATTGGGGAACCCGTCTTCATGCCCAGGTAGACCAACTTTTCCTCTCTCTATCCTGCTTGCTTCTCACCCCCAGGAGGCATTAGCACTTAGAATCATTAGATCCCAGTTCAAATGCCCATCTGCCACTCATACCATGATACTGAGGAAGTACTGTAGATTCCCTGAGCCTAAGTTTCCTCATCTGTACACCCTTAGTCTCTCTATACCCTTTTCTTTGCAGCATGTATGACCATTTGTTCTTTTGTTTTGTTTTTGACACAAAGCCTCACTCTGTCACCCTGGGTAGAATGTCATGGTGTCATCATAGCTCATAGCATCTTCAAACTTTTGGGCTCAACTGATCCTCTTGCCTCAGCCTCCTGAGTAGCTGGGACTACCATAATGCTTGGCCAGTTTTTTCTCTTTTTAGTAGAGACAGGGTCTCACTCTTGCTCAGGCTGGTCTTGAACTGAGCTCAAGCAATCCACCTGCCTTAGCCTCTCAGAGTGCAAGGATTACAGGTGTGAGCCACTGCACCAGGCCTCATATCATCATTTGTAATTGCACATAATCTGCATAATTTTTTGTCTTAGTAGAATGCAAGCCTTTGGCAGAAGGAAACTATATCTTTTCACGGCTGAATCCCTAGCACATAGAACATTTTTGACCTAGAACAGGGGCTAAATAGATAAATTTTCAAGAAAAGGTCATGTGTTCCTAAATCTCAGTTCTGCTACTTACTGGCTTTGTGTTCTTAAGAAAATACTTCAGCTCTCTGTACCTATTTCCTCAACAATTCCTGCCTACACTGAGCCATTTAAGGGTCATTTTAAGTGATGGACTTGGGAGGGCTCTACTTGACAAATGACATCACAAAGCTAGTGTGGTACCTTACTCCTATAATAACAGCACTCTGGGAGGCCAAGGCAGGTAGACTGCCTAAGCTCAGGAGTTTGAGACCAGCCTGAGTTAGAGAAGGACCCCATCTCTAAAAAGTAGCTGGACATTGTGGTGGGCACCTGTAGTCTCAGCTACTTGGAAGGCTGAGGCAAAAGAAGAATTTGAGCCCAAGAGTTTGAGGTTGCTGTGAGCTGTGATGCTGTGGCACTTTACCAAGGGTGTCAAAGTGAGACTCTGTCTCAAAAAAAAAAAAAAAAGGATAAATAAAAATGACATCACAGTGAAGACAGTGGCTTTCTGCCAAGTCCAGGAGTAGATGTACCTACTTTCAGAAACTGGGAGCACTGAGTAGCGTTGCTCAGCTTGGGGCTGCAGAGCAGCTGCACCTTGTATGACTCACCTGGTAGAAATTAAGGAGATGTGTGAGCCCCACTCAGGGCAGAGGGCACCCACCCTGGGCCTGGCTTTCAGAGGTTGCTGCCCACATTGCCCCTTTCATTTCCCAGGCCCAGCGTACCCTGGTTCAAGTAGGTGAGGGTCTCCTCTTGCTGCTTTACAGCTGGTGAAGTGGCTGCACAGAACACGTACTGGAACGCTGTGCAGGACGGCTCCTCGCTGGGGATGTTGGGCAGCTCTTCCTGCTTCAAGTAGGGCAAAGGCAGGGGCTCCCTGCCAAGGAAAGGAGGGCACGGCTGACTTCCTGCCCTGGCCATCCCATCCCATAAGGGGCTTTGACACTGCCAGACCCTCCCTCCAGGGAACCTACAGATTCCTGTAGCAGGCACCCCAGCAGCAGCCAGGGCCTTACGGACCCTCATTCAGCTCCTCTGGCCTCCAGGAGTCCTCCCTTAAAGTGCTAATCCCAGATTTGTGGCTGTTGTACTAAACAGCCACCATCGATGAATTGTCTTTGAAACCTCAGGGCTTGCCTGATTCCTAGTATAAATGCCCACCAAAAATATCCAGAGTGGGTAGTTAATCAGGGTATTTTGAGGTGTTCCAGGACCCACTAAACTCCGGGTACATTTCACTACTTCCCCATCTCCAAAGGAGCCCCAAAACAGGAACTTGTTCCTTTGGCTTAAAAGAGATGGCTCTACCATGTCTTGCCCAACTTGCCCAACCAGGGCCTTCCTGAGGGAACAAGGACCTGGCCCTTACCTGAGCAGGCTTCTGGGAGGCCCTGGGTACAGTTCTCCAGGACTATTCTGGCTGGTTGTGCCAAAACAGCATTTTGGGAAAGGAGCAGGGCCAGCTGCGTGATAGCTCAGTGCACCTTAAGTTGGACCCACTGGGCCTTCCAGCTGGAGCCTCTACCTTTATACACAGCACACCTGCAAGGGTGGAGCACTCAGGACTCTGGGAAACTCAGCCCCTGCCAGGGCAATCCAAGTTGGGGGAATCAGAGCTTCCCACTAATTATTAACGTGAAGTGGAGATGGAGTTATAGCAAAACAAAGTCACAGGATGGACATCCACTTGCACACTTGTCCCCAAGAAGCCCAGGGACAAGAAGGGATACACTCAGGCTTCAGGTTTCGCCCCAGATCCAGAAGCCATGCAGAATCCTGGAGATCCCTGAACCTGGCCCTTCATGTGACCTCATGGGATAGGACAAACAGACACAGCATCTCATGGACCCACAAAGGGCCTTTGCTGCCCACTCCCCTCTCTCCACTGCCACACACAGAGGTACAGTAGGGGCAGGCACTTGTCCTTTAACTGAGGGCTGCCTGGCTACAACTGGGGTTTACAGACTATAGCACAGATTGTAGTGGAAACACCCAGGGGCGGTGCTGAGAGGAGGGAGAGGTGTCCCTACTAGGGCAGCTCAGGGGCTCCAGTGGGGCCGTTACTTTGTCCTTCCCTGCCCTGGAGCTTGGAGTAGTCTGTGTTTATGGACAAATACAGCCTGCTTGAGGGGGCTTCTTTTCCCACACTCAGCCCATGTTGTCACTGTACACAAATAGCCTCAGCCCCCTGCCCACCTCTCACTACTATGTTTGGTAGAAATAGACCTAGGGCCTTGCATAGAGCAGGAACAGGGCTTTAAGAATGTGGCCTGACTTCATGCAACCCTAGCTGTCCCAGCTGCCTCCTGATTCTGGGGCCCTGCCTTGGTGAGGGGTAAAACCAAAGTTTCCCAGGTCCGGCACCTCCATCTCCAGGTCCTTAAATTCTTTCTCTCTCATGAGTACAGATAAAAATGCACATGGGGAGAATAGGAAGGAATGTGAGGG